TGTTTTTCCCCAAGTTGAGTCTGTTTTGCCTGTGACCTTAATAAGTGAAGAACCCTCCTTGTCCTTTGTCTCGACCTGTGAGCTTCTAGTTGGGTTTGTCCTCCTCATCCCAGTGTGTGTGTGGGGAGTGAGTTGGGTGAGTGGCCTTAGGGGTGTTTCTTTGTTGTCTTGTTAGGACCAAACCACAACAATTACTTAGTGTTTCCTGGATAGAGACTTGATAGAGTTCTTTCAGGCTGCACATGACCATGTGAGAAGTTGGCCAGAAAAAATTAATCAGTTGTCCTCTGGCACAAAGAGAAGCCACAGAGGCTGGGAATAGCATTCTTTCTTGCTGTGAACAGGGCATAAGTGCAGACCAGAATTCCATGGTGTCCAATCCTGTACAAGCATGTGCAGAATAAGAAAATTCAGTCTTCAGGGGTTTGTGACCTCAGAACATGAATTTCAGGATGCCTAGAGCCAAGATGTAATGGCTACAGGCTCTTCAGCAGCTCCCTTGGCAGAAGGGGTCTGGTCAGCTGCTGAGGCCCCTCCATATGCAGCGTGACAGACCTTGCCATCGGGCAGCGAACATGGAAAGGGGGATCACAAGGAACTTTGGGGGGAGCAGCTGTGAAGTCTATCCAATCTGGTATGGTGTCTGGAGAGCAGCCAGCTTGTGTGCCTGGGAGGAATTCTTAAAAAGAATGCAGTGAAGAGACAACTGGTGCTCTCCTTTGTTCCTTTTCTCAAGCTGGGATGCTCTGAAGGATAGTGGCCCTTCCGCAGCTCTCATTAATTAAAACAATTCCAAGTTATCATCTTTTTCACTGTGAGGGTAACAGAACACTGGAACAGGTTGCGCAGAGAGTTTGTGGAGTCTCCTTCTCTGGAGACATTCAAAACCTGCATGGATGTGTTCTTGTGTGACCTACTCTAGGGGATCCTGCTGTGGTACAGAGATTAGACTAGATGATCCTTTGAGGTCCCTTCCAGCCCCTAACATTCTGTGATTCTGTGTGATTCTCTGATTTGCCTTATCAATACTTTTTCTTCTGCACTGTCCCATGCTGGAGGAAGAGGGAAGTGTTAGTGTTTTGGAGCTTGCTGTCCTCAGGCATCATTAAATGGTTCTGGGCCCTTCATTGACCTGAAGGAGGATTTTCACTACAGTGTCTTGCATGCCAGAAGGGTGGTGGCAGCTCAGCTACAGTCATGACAAGGGACAGGAAGATAGCATGACTTGTGCAGTTTTGGTGGAGTGCAGCAGGGCACTGTCAGCACTCACCTGTTTGTCAGAGGAGCACACGGAGAGCTTCATCTGCAGGAGTGTAGTGTGCCCAAGTGGAGAGTGGCATATGGTGTATTCTTAGATGGATCCTGGTTTGTGCCATGCCTGCGTTCCTCTTTCTTGTCATTCTGTCCCCAAAGACATGCTCTGAGGTAGTGGTCTCCATGTTTCCGTAACACGTCCCACCCATGTCTTAAATTCCATGTGCAACATTTTTAAATGGCACTGTGGAGCATAATTCATATTCCCTGTGCCTTATGCATCTCATGCTCTTCAACTGACCTGCAACTCAACTGCTCTTTCCTCCCCAGTGTGTGAAGAGGTTTCCACTTAAGTGTACATGTACATGCCATGGTGTGTGATGGCTGCTCTTGGTGCTGGGAGGGAGCCTGATCTGCTGGCTGCATCCTGGCCTGGAGGAGGAAGGCTGTGCTTCCTGGGGAAAGAATGTGATTTCCTGGCTGTTCATGTTTAACCTCCCTCCCTTCATTCTTTTTCAGAACATGAGTGAAAACTTGAAGGACTGTTTGATCCAGACCCAGGCTTCCTTAGGGGAGATGGTGACGATAAAAACAGAGTCCTGCTCTCCATGCCGGGACCAGGAGTATGGACATCCTTGGTATGTGGCTAAGCTTTGGTTCAATATACTCTAACCCCCTTCTCTCCACCTCCCCCCTCACAGCTTAAACTTGGCTTTGAGGGTTGTACTTGAACCTGTCACAATTATTAAAATGCTCCCTTGGGAGGTCTGCTTTGAGATGTATGAAGGAGGTGGTCACCTACAGCTTTAAGCTGTCTCAGGTACCAGCTTTTGGCAGGTTGGATAGGAGACTTAGGGACTAAGAGAGCCGGTCAGGTCCCATTGCCTCCGCTCCTCTGTGTGCAGTCCCAGCATCTTGGCAGGTTAACATAATTGTTCTGTTGTTCCCTCCTCAGCTCTGGAATGCCTGACCCACAGTCCATGGAGGTGGAGCCCAAGAAACTGAAAGGGAAACGGGATTTGATCATGACCAAGAGCTTTCAGCAAGTGGATTTCTGGTGTAAGTGGCTTGTGAGTGAGGGAAAAGCCATGCTGCCACTTGTACAGACTTTTGCCTTTCCTGGTTGGCACTGTGCCAGTTTGGGGCAGGAAGCAGGGAAGAAAAAAGCAATGGACAAATTTGGTATTCTCCTGAGAAAACAGGCACATTTGGTAGGGAAGCTGTTGCACAAAAGCGGTTTGTCCATTATGGGGCTATGCAGCAGTAGGAAGGTATGTGGGAAGCATGCTGGAAACATGACAGTGCACATGGGAATACTCCCAAGAGTCTTCAAGACCCAAAGGCTTGAATTCAGAAACTGCAAAGGGAGCATGGCACAGATGACAATTTTTTTCTAGCCATATTCTGGGAAAGAAAACTGGTGCCAGTTACATTGGCATACCTACAAAGTACTGAATTGTAGGCCTGAGTCCCTGTCTTGCCACAGGGCAAGAGCCTGGGGATGCTGTCTCTTCCAAGCACAGAGTGAAGGCTGTATGATGAATGTACTTGTTTTCAGGAATGTTTGTTTTGGCTCTCCACCGGTGTGTGGGGAATCGACCCCTGCAGCTTGAGGAAGTTAATGTTAACCAGGGCCCAACTTCTGTCTCAGACAGTGATGGGACCTTCCCCTGAGCATGTAGTTGTCGGTGATGAATCTGCGTAGGGCACCAGGGCTTAGGTGAGCACAGACAGGTCAGGCAGGTGTGGGGTGGGACAGAGTCCTTGTCGAGAGACCTGTGGCAAAAGAAGTAAGTGAAGTGAAGTGTCTGTGTGCGTGGAGGCAGGGTTTTGTGGATGGGATGTAGCTGGGCCAGGAGAAGGATGAGGAGCTGGGGCATGGTGGTCTGAGTGCTCTGCATCTTGTGATCTGCATGAGCCTGTAGAGGCATCATGTCTGCCCAGTCTAACCCTTGCTCCCCTTGCACCCACAGTCTGTGAGTCCTGCCAGGAGTACTTCGTGGATGAGTGCCCAAACCATGGCCCCCCGGTGTTTGTGTCTGACACTCCAGTGCCTGTTGGCATCCCTGACCGAGCTGCACTAACCATCCCACCTGGAATGGAGGTGGTGAAGGAGCCCAACGGGGAGAACGATGTGCGCTGTATGAACGAGGTGATCCCCAAAGGTCACATCTTCGGGCCGTACGAGGGGCAGATCTCTAGCCAGGACAAGTCTGCAGGATTCTTCTCATGGCTGGGGGGGGACGTGTCTCCAACAAAGTGATCCCCCAGCCATGCAGCTCAGTCCTGGAGGACTTGCAGGCCTGTGGAGCCAGCCCCTAGTCATATTCCCCCTTCTATGAAGATCTCTGCTGACCCACATGGGTAGTAGGGAAACACTCACTTGCCTTAACTGTTAGTGGTTTAATGGTGTAGATACATTAAAGGAAACCAGGTGCCATGGTACCTGAGTTTAATTCATAGAATCATAGAATCATTTTGGTTGGAGAAGAACTTTAAGATCACCAAGTTCAACTGTTAACCAACACACTGCCAAGTCTACCACTAAGCCATGTCCCTAAGCACCACATCTCTATGTCTTTTAAATACCTCCAGGGATACTGACTTGACCACTTCCCTGGGCAGCCTGTTCCAGTGCCTGACAAGCCTTTCAGTAAAGAATTTTTTGTTAATACCAAACCTTCACAGCTGTAGGAAGCAGAGCCTGCATCTCCTCTCCCCCTTGCCATGTTCTTCCATCCTCACTCAACCTTTAGGACTCCTCCACTACTTTGCTTTGCTCTGGTCATAATTTTGAGGACAGAGGAAGGATTGTGTCTACAGATTGCAGAACTCTCTCATGGGCCTGCAGCTCTCCTTCCCAGCCCACTTGAGCAGAGCAGGTGACCCAAGAGACAAGGAAAGAGTAGATCTGGTCCATCAGGACCGATCTGCATGCAGACTCCATCACCAGAACCCATCTTTTTTCCCCATAGTACTGAAGGATTTGGATAGTCTATGAAATAGAGATGGCACTAAATTGACTGATATTGTTAGGAAAAAGGTGAAGTGGGAATTGAGTTACAGGTGGAAAAAAAATTAAGAGCTGCTGATACAAAATGCTGCTCACACTTTTCTGTCTGTAAAATAAATGTGTCTCAGCCCTGTCCTGAAAGGGGAGTTAATCTTTTGTACCTTAGGCCTCTTATTAGTTGTCAGCTGCATCCATAGTTCTGTATTAACAGATATTTGTACTTGCTAAAATGCCTCTTAGTCAGTTCGGAGTAACCTAGACACATATTCAGGGCAGCAGCCTGTAGTACTAGGAGAGCTGAGATTCTTGGCATAGAGATGTGAGCCCTGACTTAAGGCTGGAACTGGAACAGTGATCTGAGAGATGTAGACCTCATGTATGGACCAGCTAGTTGACGTGCTGCATCTGTTCTCCTGTTCCACAGATCGTTGATAAGAACAATCGTTACAAATCCATTGATGGGACGGATGAAACCAAAGCAAATTGGATGAGGTGAGTCAAGTTGTCTTCTGCCTTCCCTTTTGGGACTCTGTCTTCCAGAGAGAGGCCATCAAACACTCCTTGTTGTTTTGTGTGACAGAAAAAACAGAATGCCACGAAACCTTCTCTAAAGGGTGTGCTTTGGGCTCTTTCATTCTTACTGTGATGAGAATCCTTTGGAGTCAGGTTCAATGCAACAGACTAAAACAAGTGTGTGTGTATGGAAGACAGCTGCTTTCTGGAATCAGAACAAATGATAAAGATGATCCTATTTGTTTGGTCTTTAAAATGCTGACAGATCTCATTCCATTTTTAATCTTTTTTCTTTATGTTCCAATATTTGCAAATCGCATTGCATTGTCCCCAGGGTAGCATTTGATTCTGTGTGGGGTTTTTGTGTCTTCTCCAATTTGGTAAGACTTTGAAAGAGGTGCTCTTTTTGTTTTCTTCTGGGTTTCGCTTGAAACCTTGTAGAGGCTGCCGTTGGTCTGTGGTGGCTGCCATTGGTAGTAGCAGCTTTACTGTGCTAGGAGAGACGGTGGGGAGTGAGTTGCTGCAGCTCCCAGTGCAGAGCTCATGCGTTTGCTTGTGCTCCCTCTGCCGGCCTCGAGGCTCAGCAGAGCAGAACCCAAATACCAGTCAGTACTGAATGGACCAGAAGTGGGCCTGGCTCTTGTTTGTGAACAGCAGCAGTAAGGGAACATGTTTAGCCATGAAACAGTGCTTCAAGTATTGGCATATATCTTCTAATTCTAGGTCACTCTTGCAGCCTTATGAGGTAGAGGCAGAGCACTGAAGTGCCTCTTGCGTGTGGTGAGTCACCAAAACAGAGCATTGCTGCATCCTGAGGCTTGTCCCACATTCAGACCAGTCCTGCTTTCAGGGCTGAATTTTAGAAGCGGTTGTTGTCAAAAAGGCATTTCATTCAAGAGTAAAGCAGTGTGGGAATTAACTGCCTTGTTAGTCTGGATGTCTAGGATTTTCACTTGTCATTCAGTAAGGGAAGAGAGAGGGTGACGTACAGGTAGATGAGAGACTGACCTACCTGGTCAAATTGGGTTTGCAACACTTTTGCTCCAGAGGAATCTTACATGGGTAGCGGCTGCTCTGGCACATTTGTAAAGTTCAGCAAAAGATCCCATTTTTCTGCATGAATTCCAGCTGTTACAGTTGTTTGCTACTGGATGAGAGAAAACTCTAGACCTGGGCTGAGGCTGGAGTTGTCATTCCAAAAAGAAGCAGTGCTACAGTGGACAGGTAGGTAGGGGGACATATATTTTGAAATAAAGAATGCAAAGTTCAAAAATTACAGTGAGATTTTTCCGCTTAGATGCGGATCATCAAGTGGTCTGGATGACAGTGAAGCTAAGGGAAAACAGTCTTGGAAAGCTAAAATCCTGTGGTGGACTCATCCTACTTACATGAACTTAAGCTTGATGTCTGGATTTAAATGAGGACTACTCGTTGTCCCAGTACAAAAGAAAAGAATATTCTTGTCTAAACTTGCATTTGCCATGGTTAAAACTCCAGATGAGTGTGGTCTGCGCCATTCAGGATAGCCTTGAAAGGCAAGGAGGTTATGGTTTTGGGGAAAGGAGATGTTTGCAGTGCATCGAGGAAAGGGTGTATCAAAGGACCTGTGCAGGATATACCAGTCTTACTGATCTTTCTGGTTTTAACTCTTGAAAATTGCTTCTAATAGCAGTATTATGTTGAGTCTGACTGCCAGTTCAAGTGGAGATAGTGGTCCTCAAGAAATCTTGGTTTTGTTTGTTAGCAGCTTTCAAATAGAGGTGCACTTGTTACCCTGTGCTAGGACGTTACCTGTCATGGAAATTACCCATGGAAACTGTACTTCTGGGACGCTGTAGACAGCGCTCTTTTTGTTTTTCAGATGGTGCTCTTTGCCATCACTCACAGATGGAATGCTTTGCAAAGCAGATCTACTCACCCTCTGGGTAGGTGGGTATGGCATGGGGAGGGCAGCTTGGCCTGACTCCTCTCTCATCTTGTAGATCTGGCTATTGTTTTTGTTGTTTGACTACCATATCTGAGTCCATTTTCATGTTCCCACTGAGTACAGTGTGTACACTGCAGCATTTTCTAGCTTAATTTTAAGACACTGTTTACCCAGGGCAGTGGATGACAGGGAGGAAGGAGTGTGAAGCGTAGCAGCTGGCATGGCAGTGGTAACATCCTCTTGCCCTTTCCCTCATCAGTCAGTCAGTCAAGACAGACTCCTGATGCTGAGAGCATGTTCTCTTCAGCTGGCTGCTGGCACAAGAATAATGCACCCTTCATCTCTGTCCAGAGTAGAGCACTGTTGTTTCCAATACTATATGAAACTCGATGGCTTTGACCTGCAGGGATGTCCAGTTACCACAAATCGCAGCAGACCTCAAGAAAACTGGTGCTTTCTTAGACACAAACCATAAACTCCTGTTGATGAGAGTTCTTAGGGCTTCTGAGAGATGACACTGAACAAGCCGTTGTTCGTGGTTGCTTCTGAGGAAATTCTGTTATTCAGTTGCTGGGGACCTTTAAAAAAAAAAAAGAGATCTGATCAAAAAATGAAAGTAATACATGAAGTCCAGGAAACATCCCTCTGTGTATCACTTGGCCCTGACTGAGATGCAAGGTAGGAAGTACCAGCAAACTGGTGGTGCCTAACTGAACTGTTGGAGTGAAGTGCATTATGTGTGGGGTTTCCAGGCTATTATGGGCATGTATAGTCTGCATCCCCTCTTACATGAGTGTACCTGAGCTCTCAGGCTTTTGGCACAATTAAAATTCATCCTTTCAGTCCATGGCAAAAAGCTGGTGCAAAACTTCCCCACTTCTTTCTCCTTTGCCTCCTTCTCTGCCCCCTTTCCTCTACAAACGTAGTGTCAAAGAGGTCATGGGAAGCAGGACTGTTCTGTTAGTCTTCCTGTATCTCCCTAGAGTGGAGATGCTTGCCATTTGATTCATACAATAATAGAGCTTGGAAGGGAGCTCTGGTCAGGTGCTCCAACAGCCTGCTCAAAGTGGGATCAGTAGATCATTTAAGTACTGAACTGCTGTTTTGGCTTTACAAGACCATTGAAAAATATTATTTTTTAAAAGCCAGGGTTACTGTGTCCTCCCATGTGTTCAAGGGGAGTAAAAGCCACCACCAGCCTGCGCACATGTAATTCTGTTGAACTTCATAAACTGGTCTCTGTTGCCTTGCAGCAAGTGAAGCCAGTGTTTTTATTTGTTACAGACTGAAATTTACCCAGAGCAAAGAGATCCTAAAGTACTGCAGGGCTGTGATCCCTGTAAAAAAACTGCTTCAGAGCCCAGGGAAAAGTAATATGCTTGTTTCTATGCTTGTTTAGGCTGATAATCTTTGTGGGGTGATCATTAGGTGCCTGCTGTTCATGTAGTTTACAACATCCTATGTGTTTTTAAAGGGATAGCTGTTCTGTCTTGCACCCTCACAATGACCTGAGCTGAGATGTCAATTCACAGCCTCACAGCTGGAGCACCTCTGGAGTAGGATAATACCCACACAGCATCCTCAGAGTGGTACCTCCAAATATCAGTGACTATTCTGAGGGACACCCTGCATGCTAGAGGAAACACATGAAGGGAAAATGATCTCTCTAACAGTAACACTGTCTGCATTTTTATAAGGAGGAGGCTAATGTGCCTGCTGGGAGCCTAACATTAATTGAATTCATGATTAAAACTGGCCAGAACTCGTTACTTTTTGCATGGGGAGTTTGCTGTTAGAATACTTAAGTTATCTTAAGTAGTTTTGACCCAAGTAACGCTGGTGCAAATGAGTGAAAACCCTGAAATCCAAAAATCCAGGTCTACCAGAGGTTGTCCTAAGTGCATTTGATGGCATACCCGGTCAAAGGAGCAAGAAGGGCTTTAATTCTCTATCGATACAGCTTTGCTAGTGACAGAAGCCATAGGTTTACGTGGAGAAGAGGGAGCGCAGGTTTCCTGACCTGCCAGTGTCTCTGAGCAGCTCTGGAAGAGAGTTCTGTTCTTCAAGCTCACGCCTACCCTGCGGCCCTTTGCAAAATAGTTTCTCCTTTTCACCAGAGCAGCTTGTCGGTTGAACTTTATTTTCACCACATGGAGGCACTGGTGATACTCTGCTGTGGTGGGTACCTGCAGAGACTATACTTGTAACCCAGTTTTGCTGAATGTGATAAAAATCAAACCTTAAGTGTTTCCTTGCTCAATGCCTTTTCCCTTCTTCCAGTGTTCACCTGGGAGAGCTCCATTTTATTTCTGAGTTTGTTGTTTCTTTTTTCCTTGAGGTCAGTGTAGCAAGGGCTTTGTTTGCTCTCCATCACTTCTCTACCATCTTCCCTAAACACTCTTGTCCCGCCATAAATGAAGCTTCACCAGAACAGTATTTCAAGTATGCATCTATGTTTCTCCCAGTGAAATCTGTGCACTTAGCTCCCAGCTCTCCCTGTGTGTGGCCTGGATTTGAGCAGCATTTCTACTGGTTTTCCAGCTCTAACTGGGGTTAACAGCATCTGACACTTACCCCAGTGGAGGGCAGCAGTGTCAGTGAGATTCATGGTAATGGCATGAAGGGGAAACTAGAACAACATCTGACACGGGCCACTCTGCCTTTCTGTAGGTTTTTCTTTGCAACTAGCAAGCACCTTTCACACGAATGTGTCCCAAACCACCTCTCTTCTGCTGGGTCACGGCAGTGCTGAAAGGCACCCCATCTCTGAGAAGGTGCCAGCAGGGCTGTCACAAATGTGGGGCATGTGGGACAAATGTATTTGCTTATGCCAACTTTGCAGAATGTATTTTGGGGTGGCTAAAGTCTGCCTGCAAGAGATAGGGCATTCAGCCAGGGTTCTAGGATTAAATGTAATTTTTTGAAAGAGGAGGGACAAAGCCATCCCAGCCAGAGTTCATTCCCCTAATGTTGCAAAGATACTAACTATAGGTCCCAAATTAAATTAAAGATGCTTTCTACTAGTAATAGCATCTTTGGTTTCATTTAATTT